CCCACATTTTTTCCACAATTTTCTTTATTTTTGCCCATGGGTAACTCTGTTTTCCATTCTTACGAAAGTTAGCAGCTGTATTTACATTCTTATCATCTTTTACACTCAATGAAGTAGAAAAAGAGTAGAAATTGCACCAGATCCTTTTACAAGCAGTTGTAAAGTTTGGGTAAGGTCATTACAACTAAGGATAACTGTATAACTTGTAGGTAATCTACTCTGTGCACACTACGTTGATACACTGATACACTACATTGATTCAGTATGCAAAAAGCAATACCGTCATAGAAACACCTCTGAAATAAAACACGTTGAACTCTTCTAAAGATCAAGCAAGTTAAAACATCTGTATTTTTGTGATAGAACAATGCATTTTTTAATGTTTCACTTAATATAATAAAAAAAAGTTAGTGGGAGTAATGGTAAGAGCAGTACCATTAAATATCTCTAAAAATAGTGAAACAGCTCTATGCATGGCTTTGTGAGGGGATCTGTGTTTCCAGCTACAGTGCTGGGACATGTGACACAGACCAGTGTCAGGGCACAGCATGGGTTGGTGGCTCCCTGGGTGCCGTGGGAGCTCCCCCAGGGTCTGGCAGGGCAAAGTCCTCGCCAGCCAGGACCCATCCCATCGCCCTGTAGTGGGTTGACTCCGTCCAACAGCTAAGCACCCACACAGCCTCTCTCTAACTCCCCGTCCCCCCACAGTGAGATGGGGGAGAGAATAGGAAAAGCAAAATCAAGAAAACCCGTGGGTCAAAATAAAGGCAGTTTAATAAGTGATGGAAAGAGGAAAAAAACAAGTGATGCAAAGGTAATTGCACCCTGCCTGCTCCAAGTAGACCGATGCCCAGCCAGCCTCCAAGTCATGGCTACTTTTGAAGACCAAATCCCCATTTTTTATTGCTGAGCATGATGTTTTATGGTATGTAATATGCCTTTTGGCCTATCTGGATCAGCTGTCCTGGCGGTGTCCCCTCCCACCCTCTTGCCCACCCCCGGGGTGAGCAGTGTGAGAAACAGAGAAATGCTGTGCAAGCAAAGCTCAGCAACAGCCAAATCACTGGTGTGTTAGCATTGTTTTAGTCACAGATACAAAACCCAGTGCCATACGGGCTGCTATGAAGAAAGTTACCTCCATTCCAGCCAGACTCAGTACATGTCCCCAGCCAGGAGCAGGGCAGCCATGGGGACTGGAGGCAACCCAAGCTCTGGGCACCAGGCACCTCCCTGGGGACATGGACGGGCTGAGGCTGGGCCTGGATGTGGGCCCGTGGGTGGGCCTGGCTCGTTGGGGCCCATGGCTGGGCAGGACAGGGCTGTGGGGGAGCTGGAGACTGGCCCTGCTGCGTTGCTGAGGCAGGGGCTGATGGCCATGGGGGTGGCTGCAATGGGGTCCTGGGCTGCGGGAAAGGTGGGGGAAGCCCCAGGGAAGAGGGTCAGGGACAGTCAGGGCTGGACGTGCCCTCAGGACACTGATAATCATCTTTGAAGTGAGGTTTTAGATGCAGGTTTGAATTCTCCAGGTGGGTGGCTTCTGGAAACTGCCAATTTCCTGTTTTATTTTTTTCCCCTGATATAAAACATCTGTTGAATGATTAAATAGCAAGAAAACTGGTCAACAGGTTTTATGATTTGTAGGCTCTGTAACACTTACTGGTGTATCTGATTACTGGGATGACATAGCACTTGACCAAAGGGGTCCCCTTTGTTCATTTTTTTGCAAAGCCACTGTTTCTACAAAAAAATTGTGCAGAAACACAATAGAGTATAGTATATACTTACAAGTAACATGGTATGAATACTACCAAACATTCATCCTCACTTCTCTGTTCTTAGCAGAGTGCTGAACATGATAAATGAAGTAGTTTATCCCAAATTAGTATCATGTAGATGGACAGTTTTAGTTATTTCAAAAACATTTCTTCAAAAACAGGTCTCAAAACAATAATTAAAATTTATAAAGGAAAACTATTCATGTGGTATGTTATTTATTTTTTTAATATTTTTGTATTGTTTTTGCATTTTAATTGGGTTGTAGTAATTGAATCAAATTTTAGTTCCTTGACTTAACATATTAACAAATAATTTTTTAGAGAGAAAAAAAAAACTTCTCTCAGATGTGTTGTCTCATTTTGAAAAGAATACTACTGGCCATTTAAAAATGCTTGAAGTTAATAGAAATAATTGGATTTAGAATTTCAATCTAGAGAGAGAGAAAATGTTACTGATTGCTTCTCATTGAGGTTCATATATAAGGTTCAAAGAGTATGTACTTCCCAAAGGTACTGCAGATGGTACACATGTAAAGGATCAGATTTTCTTTGGATCAGCTGAAGAAACTGGGAGGCTGACCACCTTCTGAGCAAAACCATAAGGAAGTTGTATAACTGAAATTGCATTCTAATTTCACATTTTATTCTTTTTGATTTGTTTAAAGCAAAGGCACTCTGGAGAAAAAATAAAGAAAGGATAAAACAATACCATGTGGTAAGTATGGGTCACTTTTAAAAAGTTTAGAATTCTACAGCTCATTTCCATTTCATTCTTTTAAATTAATTTTTATGAGACTTTTTTAGAGAAGTATTAGATAAGTCATCTGTTGTGAAATAGAATTCTCGTTACTAGCTATGTAAATTATCAAAGCAAGATGTCATTTGTTCAAACTGTACAATTAGCATTGGATTCTCTGTAACAGTTCAATCCCTTGCCTGTGTGCAAAACCCACAAGTATCAACTAATAGTATGGATGGTGTGTTTCATGATGTATCTTCTCTTTAAGAAAACAGAGTAACTACCAACTCATTACGTCTACAAAATACTTCAGAATAAATAAGGTAAGAAATATTGGGCCTAACCAACCAGAGAAAAATCTGAACTTAACAACTTTAAAAAGTAAAACACGTACTCCCTATTAGGAATTCTTTGAATTATCCAGGTACAGTAAGATTTTCAGAGGACCTTAAAAGAGGTTAAGTACCTAAAGCTTATTGAAATTCAGTGGCATCTATGGCTTTAACGTCTTTTGAAATCTCAGCTGACAACTTCACTTGATAAGGAAAAACAAATCCAGACATAACAAACAGGTTTCCATTTACAATGAAACTGCCACAAAAATATTATTTTTTTACCGGTGGAGTGCTGAAAATGTAGAAGGATGAACCCTTCAATGCCAGAAACTTGAATTTGTAGAGCTGAGATGAACCAGTTCCTTCAAGTCTCTCATTTACCCATCCCATATGTATGACCTGTAAAAGAAAATAATTGAAATCAAAGCTCTAGTTTTCAGTGGAGCATAAGATATATCTGAATAGGTCAATCTTTCCACACGGAAGATTGGTCATATTAGAATAGGATGCATCATCCCCTTCTTCACATTTGCCTTCCCACCACTACCATACTCTTGAAGTGTACGGTATCATGCCAGTGTGTCAGAAGTCCTTGAAGAGACTTAAACTTACAGTATAGGTTGAATCTTGTCTGAAATAATCACCATTTTAAAAGCCACTTATATATGTCTCAGCAGACTCTCACTTGAACCAGCTGAAAACCTAGGTGTACTGAAATAGTTCAGCCAGCTGTTTTAAAAAAACATGATCCTACATTATCTATAGCACAGTCAAAACTTGGACATACTGAAATTTCTGTTACATGAAACTCTAAAGAAATACATCTAAACAAATCACTAGATTTATCTGAAATCAAACAGCTTTCTGTATGCTCATGTTTGCCACTGTTAACAAAGTGTCTTTGTCACACTGATTGTCTTTCAGAGTTTATATACTTTTTTTATATACACTATCTCATGACAATTTGTTATCATATAATTAAACGTCAAATTCTGTTGTTACACTACTTTGCTCTAACAGTATTACAATTGTATTGTTTTTGCATTTTAATTGGGTTGTAGTAATTGAATCAAATTTTAGTTCCTTGACTTAACATATTAACAAATAATTTTTTAGAGAGAAAAAAAAAACTTCTCTCAGATGTGTTGTCTCATTTTGAAAAGAATACTACTGGCCATTTAAAAATGCTTGAAGTTAATAGAAATAATTGGATTTAGAATTTCAATCTAGAGAGAGAGAAAATGTTACTGATTGCTTCTCATTGAGGTTCATATATAAGGTTCAAAGAGTATGTACTTCCCAAAGGTACTGCAGATGGTACACATGTAAAGGATCAGATTTTCTTTGGATCAGCTGAAGAAACTGGGAGGCTGACCACCTTCTGAGCAAAACCATAAGGAAGTTGTATAACTGAAATTGCATTCTAATTTCACATTTTATTCTTGTTGATTTGTTTAAAGCAAAGGCACTCTGGAGAAAAAATAAAGAAAGGATAAAACAATACCATGTGGTAAGTATGGGTCACTTTTAAAAAGTTTAGAATTCTACAGCTCATTTCCATTTCATTCTTTTAAATTAATTTTTATGAGACTTTTTTAGAGAAGTATTAGATAAGTCATCTGTTGTGAAATAGAATTCTCGTTACTAGCTATGTAAATTATCAAAGCAAGATGTCATTTGTTCAAACTGTACAATTAGCATTGGATTCTCTGTAACAGTTCAATCCCTTGCCTGTGTGCAAAACCCACAAGTATCAACTAATAGTATGGATGGTGTGTTTCATGATGTATCTTCTCTTTAAGAAAACAGAGTAACTACCAACTCATTACGTCTACAAAATACTTCAGAATAAATAAGGTAAGAAATATTGGGCCTAACCAACCAGAGAAAAATCTGAACTTAACAACTTTAAAAAGTAAAACACGTACTCCCTATTAGGAATTCTTTGAATTATCCAGGTACAGTAAGATTTTCAGAGGACCTTAAAAGAGGTTAAGTACCTAAAGCTTATTGAAATTCAGTGGCATCTATGGCTTTAACGTCTTTTGAAATCTCAGCTGACAACTTCACTTGATAAGGAAAAACAAATCCAGACATAACAAACAGGTTTCCATTTACAATGAAACTGCCACAAAAATATTATTTTTTTACCGGTGGAGTGCTGAAAATGTAGAAGGATGAACCCTTCAATGCCAGAAACTTGAATTTGTAGAGCTGAGATGAACCAGTTCCTTCAAGTCTCTCATTTACCCATCCCATATGTATGACCTGTAAAAGAAAATAATTGAAATCAAAGCTCTAGTTTTCAGTGGAGCATAAGATATATCTGAATAGGTCAATCTTTCCACACGGAAGATTGGTCATATTAGAATAGGATGCATCATCCCCTTCTTCACATTTGCCTTCCCACCACTACCATACTCTTGAAGTGTACGGTATCATGCCAGTGTGTCAGAAGTCCTTGAAGAGACTTAAACTTACAGTATAGGTTGAATCTTGTCTGAAATAATCACCATTTTAAAAGCCACTTATATATGTCTCAGCAGACTCTCACTTGAACCAGCTGAAAACCTAGGTGTACTGAAATAGTTCAGCCAGCTGTTTTAAAAAAACATGATCCTACATTATCTATAGCACAGTCAAAACTTGGACATACTGAAATTTCTGTTACATGAAACTCTAAAGAAATACATCTAAACAAATCACTAGATTTATCTGAAATCAAACAGCTTTCTGTATGCTCATGTTTGCCACTGTTAACAAAGTGTCTTTGTCACACTGATTGTCTTTCAGAGTTTATATACTTTTTTTATATACACTATCTCATGACAATTTGTTATCATATAATTAAACGTCAAATTCTGTTGTTACACTACTTTGCTCTAACAGTATTGCAATACATGTCTTTGTATTTCAGATAAATTAATTTTAAGAAAAAGTAAAATTAAGAAGTAAGACTGCATGCTTCCTTTTTGAGGTAAATGCAAATTTATAAAGGAATAATGCTATAGTGTGGTAGTAGAGTATCATGAATGTAGTTACCCACCAAAAATAACAAATGTAAACATTTTAGGCTTCATTTTGCATACATTAAGAGGAACATATTGCCCTTGAAACAGGTACTCAAATCTAGAGTGATCTACCAATCTAAATATACAGCTATTGCTGATAAGCTTGTTCATTTTCGATTAAAGCTACGCTTATGGAAAATGTTGAGTTACACAGGGGCAGAAATGTCATAGCACTTGTGAATGTACTGAGGCCACAGAGCTTTACTGGAAGTCAGTGGAAACAGCCTGAATAAGGCATTCATTAATTTGCATGAAAACTTCAGCATTTGTTCTATGGATAGATTTGGGAAAAATGTGATGATCTGAGGAATGCTTTTCTATTGAAAGCCCAGTGTGCGTACCCGTAGTTATTACCAACAGAGCACAAAGGTGGAAAGAATGGACAGGGAGTAGCTAATAGTATAGATGCATGATCATACTCTTATATCATGAAAAACTCACACATTGTTTTCTAATTTTGTTATTCAATGTATCAATTATGTCTCTTACCAATCAACTTATTCAGAAATAAATAATAAATCAATATGTTGAGCCAGACAATCCTTCTCTCTACTCCTTTGCTGAGCTCCAGCATTAACATTTTAAGGAGAGCTAAGAAACAGCACAATAAATAGAGTAGCCTTTCCAATTCTCACTTTGCTGTTGTGTAAATTTAATAACTCTCACCAAAACATTGTTTCTATAGTAGTCAGCAAAGGTTTAGAAACAGTATGTTCAGACACTTCATTACTTTAACAAAATATACTATAGTATTGTTGAAAATCTACTACAAACTATATTATATATTGAGTTTATGCATGGTAATATAATATCAAATAATACAGACAAAAAGAATAATGTCCAAATCACAGGGCAAAAACAACACAATATTCTCCTTTACATTCATAAAGTCATGTTTGCTGACTTGCAAATGGACACCATTTATTAACCTGTAACAGTATTAAAATTTTTACTAAAAAAGTAATTTACTGATTAAATTGATAAATTGATAAGCAAATGATATGGCTCTCTATTATGTTCTTCGTTCATCATCATTATCACCACCATTTATTCTTACAGCAGCACTCAACAAATAATTTTGGAATTATCCACAATGTCAAATGGCAAAACGAAGTCACAGATAAAGTCTGCAGCTTGCCCAGGTCATTCATCAAACATCATCTATTAAAGCAAACATGGCACATTCTGAGAAATGTAACTATATATCTTGTTGCAAACCAAAGATGTTTATTTAATATATTAGAAGAAGTAAAATATGAAGTTCTTTGTTGAAACTCAGGCAGGATGGTATTAGAAGACTGGAATTCCACTTGTCAAGATTGTGTTTTCACTTCAAAATACACGTGATTTCCTGTGATTGACAGGAAAAACTTGATTTATCTAGTTGACAGAAACCACAGGTTGGCCTGTAAGCATTGGTCCTAAGTACCAACAGTAATGCAAAAGACAACCATACTTGCTTTGAATAAAATTCTAAATTTAGAAAAAGGGCACTGAATTTCTCTAACTGAAGTAAAATGAGATTTGTTTTTCAATTAAAATGTGCTTTATGTCAAAGTTTTCCATCTGTGAAATGGGAATAATTTCCTTTACTTATTTTATGGAATTTGCGTGAAGGCCCTATCACTATTGTATTCTTATCTAAGGCTGCAAGATGTGACAGGAGCACCAAATGTTATAGCCTCGATTTAATGTACCACTTAATCTTCTGGATAATTCTCTTGACTATGTATTTAGCTACAAACACAAGACTGCATTTTCTAATTAGCTGCAGACATATTTTTTGGGCATGTGTTCTAAGTGTTTTACTGAAATGGAACTGTATTACTATTATTTTTATTGCAGTCACACCATGCTGTGACCAGTCTACCTGTGGTAGATCAGAATCAAGAGACTTGGTTTGAAGTATACCCTTCTCCATGTGACAAACAGATTTTTATAATTATTAACAGCTATAAACTCAATGTTAAGCTGTTCTGTATGCTGAAATCTCTTTCAACCTCAGACAAAATAAAAAAATGATACAAAAACACATTCACTGGACTAGATTTTTGGGGAATGGTCTTTCTACTCACTGAATTATTACAACATTATAGTACCATTCTTGATCTATATGGATTGTGATAAGGTCACCTATTCATTCCACTTCATCAAAGTCTACACAAAACTAAACCGCAATACCTCAATTACATTTTGAATACATTGCACTGAACATTTCTCTCCTTGATTGAAGTGACTAACAAAAACTCCAGTTCCAGGATAAAAGAACTTCAATCACAAAAAACCCCAAATAATAGATCATCAAAGCAAAGAGAAAATCTTAGAACCCTTAAAAATATAAGAAGATCCTTTTTGTTTCTAAATTTGATTATAATTAGATCCTTTTTGTCTAAATTTGATTATAATTCCCAAGAGATATCAGAAACTGATTAAAAATTTTTCAATTTTCATTTTCTTTAAAACCATTACTTAGCTTTCCATTGTCAACATAATTTGTGGAACAAGGAAACAATTATATACCTCATAGTAGAAATAAGAAAAAAGGGTCTGCTGATTTGTATCTTACAAAAGAAAATAAAAACTTATCTGGAAAAACTAGCTAGTATATAATAGTTCAATGTCATTAAAAAAAAAAAGTAAAAACGCTTTCAAAAGTCTATTAAATCCCAAGATTATGGTTTGTGTGTTGGCACCATGAAACACTTGCCTAAGTATTAAAGGTGCTAGTAAACAAAACGTTGCAACATTTCCTGAACTTTCTAAAAGACACCTATAAAATGAATGCCTACATCAACCTGTTCCATTTTTTTTAATGAAGATGTGAAAAAATTCAGCAAGTAGCATATTTGTAGATCAATTTAAAATTTGGAGAAGAGTATCTCTGCGGAATACTGATTGAAGTTTCAGTACATATGTACATTTAGGAAGAGAAATATAGTACAGCTAGAAGACACACAAGCTTTTTGTTTGTTCATTTGTTTTAGCATTTTTGTATATTTAGGAGAAAAGCAAGCATTGAGTTGATTTAAATACGGATTGTTCTATCAGATATGAAAGACTGAATGAGATACTTTCTTGGAGAAGAAGCAATAGTCAGGCTAGGTAGATTGCTACTGGAAGATAACTGGTGAGCTCAGTGGGTTTAGACCTGTATTACTGTCATTTGCATGGTTTGGGGATAACCTGACAGCAAGCTAAAAAGTAAGTACTAATGAATATGAAAGAGAAAGAGGAAAAGACATTTAGGAGGAGAAAGAAATCAATTTAGTAAGACCAGAAATAAAGAAACAGGAGAAAATATGAAATTAAAATGAAAAGAACAAAAGGAAACACACTATACAAGTATATAAAGAGAGGAAAATCAATGAAAAAATATTTGGGAGGAAAAAACGTAAAGAAAAGAGAATTCCAAATGTATACTTGCCTATAAAGACACAAAGTCCTTAAAAAAGTAAAGAAGGAAAAGAGAAGAATTTCCTTTATCAGAATCAGTGTTTGATTTACTTGCGCATATATTGGAAAAATAATAAAATTATGCATCTTTTTATAGAGCTATTAAAAAAATCTAATATATTTTTACTTTCTTTCCACACATCTTTCTTATTGACTGGTTTATTTAATGGTCATTTAGACCACAGAAATGGAGAAAGAATAATTATTCAGTTCAACAAAAGTCTGTATGGAGCAGAAGCAACCAAGTGTTGGTACTCAATAAGCTGTTTGTGGTTCATAAGTAGGCTACTGAGATTTTATTTGGGTCTCAGTACATCAGTGGGAATATTAGTCCCGGGATAAAAACTGTTCTGTTATTTGGATTGAAACCTGCCATTTGAAGTTTTAAGGAGTGCTCATAAGGCATAACACTACAGACTGTCCCATTCTCAGCATTGCTTTCACCACTTTATTCCCATACCGCATAATCGATTTGAGACTGCTATCTGAAACTGTGTGGAAAATTACCCATACATCATCGATGTATTATTAAGTTTCTAATATATTCTCATACACTTTCCAAAAGTTTCTGTAGGAACAAAATGAGCAATGGCACTCATTATGAGGAGATAAAACAAGTCACTAACAAAATGTAATCCAATCATAGCAGATAAATGAAAGTTCTTATTTGCACTTATTGTTTTCCTACAGCAATAAAGCATGTAGATGCTGCAATGACAGGAAACTTAATGTGTGTTACATTTA